TGAATCGTTGAGATGTACTCAAAATGGGCCCATACTGAGCCAGACTATACCATCTAATTGACTAGCTCAACTGGAGGCAGTTCAAACCCTTTAAAAATTGTTAACCAATATTATTAGGACATTTGTTAATAAGATCATTTTTTTTAGTGGCCCACTTTTAAAAAGATCTCCCATACAATAAAAAAATTCTACCCTAGAACATAATACAAATTTTACAAATTTAGAAAAAGGTCTTGGTCCATGTAGTTTATAAATGAAAAGTAGCTATTATATTTTTTTAAAACTCCACATATTTTGAAAAAGACTCACTTAAAAAGAATAAAAAATAAAAATCTCTACCAATTTAAAATTAGTTGAAGTTTAGTCTTTAATTATTTTTTTTTTCTAGCATAGGCTACATTTTAAATCCATAAGCGCTAATTATTAGATAATCTTCATAAAAGCATTAAATAAAGGGAAAACTACAAATCATTGTAGTTTTTCAAAAAAAATCAAATTATTGAAAAACTATATAAACATTAATGATTAAATTTATAAATTTTTTCATTAATTTATAAATATTTTGTCCAATTCTCACTTATGTGTAATTTTTCCTAAAATAAATCATAAAATTAATAACATTTTCGAATAAGGCACTCAGCCCCATAAATTCAAATTTGATTTTTTTTTACCAAAACGCTAAACTATTACGTCTATAAGGAGATTTTTAAGTGTATAAGGACACCATTCTCTATCTATACAAATAAACACATCCTCTCTCTCTCTCTCTCTCTCTCTCTCCGAATAATCGAATATTCGCCATTATTCTCAACGCCGGCGATCCCAAATTTGAACGAGTCATAACTTAGGATCTGATCATCAAACCTTCATATCTCACAGAATTCGGTCGACGAGTCAAATGAAACTTGCACCAACTCAATGACATCTTCATCGCTCGTCGTCATGTTCAATAGAGGAAAACCAAACTCGTCATCAGAAGCTTCAATAAGGAAACCTAGATCAGGTTGAGACTCACTAGAATATAACGTCAAATCCACTACTGTCATAGGTGGTGAAACGATTATCTTTACCTCAAAGCTCTTCATAAAGGAGTCCAGATCTAGACTTGTTGTGCACACATCTGAGTCATCAAGATTGCAAAGGAGATCATCTCTGAGCCTCTTCACCTCTGATGAGTCAGATTCTAACTTGTATGAGAGAGAGAGAGACGGATAGATAGATAGATAGATAGAGGAAATAATATGTAGGTTTATAGAGAGAGATAGGTTTTAGAGATAGCAAAATATATTTGATTCAATGTTCAAGAACGTCTAGCCTATCATCGTTGGTTATTGATTTAGGCTGGGGGATACTGAAGACACACTAGCTAATTCAAATCTGAGTAGGGTTAGAAACTCAAAGGAAATACTCTAATGAAATGGGTTTGTAAAGAGAGAGTTGGATTTTGAACAGATAAAAAAATATTTTGACAGATATAACCCCGCTCTCTCTCCCTCTCTCTCTCTCTTCTCTTTATATATATTTGTATGTGTATGAGAATTTGAACAGATAGAATAAAAAATTGAACAAATATGAAAAAACAAGCTTGGTGAATTTCAATAGATATGGAAAATAACCTTGGTGAATTTCAATAGATAGGAAAAAATAGACTTGGTGAATTTTAATAGATAGATACAAATTTGAACAAATAGGCTAAAATAAAAATTTCAACAAATATGTGGTAATATCCTTTTAACCAACAAATGTCCTTATCACCAAAAAAGATTTTTCTTTAGATCTAATATTATACCTTCTTTAAATTAGACTTTTCACAAATTTTGTCTTTCAAATTTATATTTAAATATTAAAAAAACCACTGGTATTTATTGTAAGCACTATTAAGTGCTAAGTTGGAGTGTAAATTTGTTTACACACACCTTCTCATTGAATCATTTTATATTTTTTGTGAGACCATCTCATTGGTTATTATTATTATTATTATTTTTTGGTAACCCTTAAACCCTCAAGGCCGAGCCCTTAGGACCCGACCCTATAAGCCAACTCAAGAGAGGATGTCGAGGACCTTACCCCTCACCCCCTAATTTCAGTCAAGGGCTATAAGAAGACTAGTAGAGGTTTTAAACCCTGAACTTATCGTCATGCTGGCTGATGCCTTACCATGTTGGTTTTAAACCCTGAACTTATCGTCATGCTGGCTGATACCTTACCATGTTATCCAACCTTGGGATATCTCATTGGTTATTTATTGGTTTAGAAAAAAGAAGAGAAAGTAATTTGTATTTTTGTGAACAAATTTTCTATCGTAAAACCAAGCCCTGCTACACTTGTATTAGGGTTGGATATCGGCCCGTTAACCTGCCTAACCTAGCTCTATTTTTCTAAGGCTTTGGAAGGTTACTTTACTCCATAGGGCCAACATTTTCAATCCGAAATATTAATAGGCTGGGCTTCAGATTTATACTTTCAACCCAACTTGGCTTGCTAATTAATTAATTAATTATTTATAATACATTAATATATATATATATATATATTTGGGATCTAAACTTTATCTTTATTAATTTTATTATAACTCACATTTTCGGTGATGTATGATTGAATTTATTTGAGAAATCCTTCAATCTATATTCAAAATCTTTCAAATTTATAATAATGTCAATATATTTATTTAAGAAATATAATGTGTGATTAAATTTAATTATTGAATGTTTTAATTTTTTTTAATCACATAGCCCGATTTATAGATTTAGGATTTATAATTATTTTTTAAATCGAATTTAGACAAATATAAAGTCTCGATGTTAAGGCCTAACCATACTTAGATAGGCACAAAATATCTTATTACGGGTTTGGACCGGCATTTGCCCACCCTTAGGGCTATTTTGGGAAGAGGGCTAAAAGCCATCTTTCAACTTTTAACTCATTTTAAATCATAAGGTGATTTTACTTACACAACTACTTTACCTCTTTACATTCTCTATATGAGTTTTTCCCCCCTCCCAATTTTGTCCATGTGTGAAATTACCTTTAAGGACAAAACACTAAAATTAAATTTATTTTGTTATCTCCTTATATCCCTTGGTCTTCAATTCCCACTCCTTTTTTTCTTTTCTTTTACATATCTCTTTTCAAAAAGTGAGAATCATAATATTTTGATCATTAAAGAAAATAATGAATGAAGAAACAGTGGTGAAGAACCATCAAAAAAAGTAAAATGGTGGGTTTTTTTTTTATTTATTTGGTAAGTTTTTATTGCGTTTTTCTAGACTGGTGTTCGACTTTCGTTCAGTGATTCGAAATCAAACAAAATAAAATAGTTCAGCAGTACATTGTCGAACAAAAAATATAAGTTTGGTAACCAACTACCAAATAAAAGATACATTTTCGGTAACCCCAAATCGAATTTTTTTAATTTGTTCGGCTTCTCATTACCATATATTTTCAGTTTTATTTTTTTATATTTTTAATTTTTTTGCCTGAAATGATTATATTTATATTCATTGCAACAACGCAAGTACTTCAATATTAGTGGACACTAGTCATGAATTCATTACAGACGAAATTTGTTAAGTCTTTTTTTTTTTTTACAAATATAATTTTTTCTTATTTTTAATTTGTATTGAGTTTTATTAATAATTTAACGTATAAATGTATTATCTTTAGATTTTTTGTAGTCGTGAAGCATGAATTAAATAGGCTTCTGACGTTGGGAAAAAGACTAGATTTATCATTGTTATAAAGACATCAGATGCGGAAGGCAATGGCAGAAAACTATGACTTACACTTGTTTGTAAAAGAAGTGGTTATTATAGAGATAACATGAAGATCAAGGGGGAACGATTGAGATTGACAGGCTCTAAAAAGTGTGGACGTCTATTTCTATTAAGAGGAGAAAAATTACCTAAAAATTATCAAGACGAATTGTGATAGCATGTTTGATTGATAGATGCAAACAATGACAGATTTTATGGATACTTTATGGATATTCGTACACTTAATGTTTTTATGAATAATTTTATGGATACTTTTTATGTATGATTTTATGGATGCGTGTTTGATTTATAAATTTTTTTATGGATGCTTCAAGAAAAAAGTAAATCTTTCAATGTACAACGACAAGGGCCTAGACAATTCTATTGTAGTTTGGCAACATAACATTATAATAATCCCATTTGTATAACAATGTATCACTGAACATGCACTTCACAAGTGACCCAAATTAATTTCTTATTATCATCTAATTGGACGGCAACATAATGCTGGGAAAAAAAATATTATCCGATAACATGGCACTGGAGTAATTTAAATTAATTAGCGTTGTATTACCGAACAGGCCCACCACAAATTAAAAAATCATTGTTTGAAAGAAAGTGTCTCTGTAAATGTATAACAACAAAATATTAGAGAGATCTATTTTTCCCAACAATATAACACCGAATAATATAAATTGTTTAGTATGGTGTTACCAAAATTAGTGGTGTAAAAAGATAAAATAATTAATTTAGGTTAGTTTTGGTAGTATATTGGGGGTGTAATAAGAATTACATTTTTTTTAGTGGTGCAATGAGATGAAAAGTATAAAAAAGTTAAATAATGGTGTAAGTACAATCACCCTAAATCATATCATCTCTCATATCTTTTACATAATTTTTTTAGAAAAAAACAAAAAAAATTAACTTTTAGGTCAATGATCAAGTCGCATATGTTTGTCGTTCTCTTTTGACATTACCTATCCAGCAGCGATCAAGTCCGTTGTAATGGTTTACCAGTAGGATTGCAAACGAAACGAACTGTTCACAAACAAGCTCGAACTTGGCTCGATTAGGCTCGACTCGAGTTTGGTTCGATTACTTAATAAACGAGCTCGAGCTAAAAATTTAAGCTCATTTTATTAACGAGCCGAGCTTTACTAACCTCTTTACTTTAATGTTATTCATTGGGCTTTAGCTCAGTGTGTGTGTGTATATATATATAACAAATATATATGTGTGTTATGAAATTAGGGTTCAGTCCTCATATTTGGAAGCTGCTGTGTGGTTTTCTCTCACCCAAAAAAAAAAAAAAACTTGTTTCCTTCCGTCGAAGGTTTTCCTGATTCGCATAAGTGTGAGAGATTTGGTCTCATCTCTATTTCAAGAAACGTTGTTCTACAAGCTTTGTCTGGTACTCCTGCTTCCTTATTTTCTTATTTTTCATCTCTATTTCAAGAGATTTGGTCTCATCTCATCTCTCTCTGCAGACAAATTTTGGGGCTACCTACGGTCACAAACCCTAGAACTCCTCACTCATCTTCATCGCCTTTCAATTTCTAGAGAGAGAGTGTATGTTTACAGATCGGAAATGGCGGAGACCGAGACGTTTGCTTTCCAGGTTGAGATCAACCAGTTGTTGAGTCTCATCATCAACACTTTCTACAGCAATAAAGTGATCTTTCTCCGTGAACTCATTAGCAATTCCTCTGATGTAAGTCTCTCTCTCTCTCTCTCTTACATGTTGATTATTGTTATTATTATTGATTTCAAGATTGATCTGGTTTGAATCGTTCGTTTTTTGTTCTCTTTGATTTAGATCCTCCTTTGTTTATGAAATTTCAAGATGTGTTGTATAGAAATCAAAGATCTATGATTTTGTATCTCATTGTTTTTGTTTAATGTTTCAATGGAATGGAAAATATGAAAATAGAATTGATATATATGTATATATATTTTGTAAAAAATGTGTACTAATCTCTAGGCATTGATGTTTTTATTTATTTATATTTATCTCCCACTTTTCATGTTGTTGCACCTGGTGCTTTAGATTAATGGTATAGGTTGGTGTTGTCTATATATATATATACATATATACACGGTAGATTGACCATTCTATAACAATATGATGATCCACGTTTGATTTGAGTATTTATTGTTTTAGTGTATCAGATCACCTATATTCATTTTGGGTATGGTAGTAAGATTTGTGCTTGTTTATTTGGTGAATTATTTAATATATAAGAACAAGTCTGAAAGATTCAATTGTGATTTGGATTTGATTTTGGCAGATTTGAACAAGTCTATAAGAACAAGGCAGATTTGATTTTGGCTTTGTTCATAGCTTAATTTGTTTGTGTGTTCGAGCTCGAGCTCGAGCTCGTTCGTTTGTAAACGAGCTATGTCGAGCCAAGCTCGAGCTTTATAAATATCTAGCGAGCCGAGCTCGAGCGCAACTTTCATAACTCGACTCGAGCTCGAGCCGAGCCCGAACATTATCAAATTCTATCGAACCGAGTTCGAGCTTCACAGAACTCGACTCGACTCGGCTCGTTTGTAGCCCTATCTACCAGAGCAGCTGAGCTTACAAACAAAGCTGACAAAAGGTTTGATTTATTAATATAATTCGGTAGCTCCGAAATCTGAACCCTGCTAGTAATATTCCTCTCGATTCACAGTTAACAGTTAATGGCATCTGGGACCCCCAACGAAATGGGTTCCGGGAAACTTGTTCGTGTGAAGATCATAATCGATACAGATCCTGGTATTGGTATGTTCTCTCTCTCTCTCTCTCTCTCTCACCACTGCATAATTGTTTTCCCATTTTATTCCTTAGCTACCTGTTTCAGTGTTGAGTCAATTGGGCTTCACATCATCTCTTTCAATTCTCTCTCCCATATACCCTTTTGATATGTTGTCCCCTACTTGCAAAAATAGATAAACAGTTCAATGTGGTAGGAGTTTTTTTTTTTTTGTGTGTGTGTGTGTGTGTGTGTGTAATATAAGTGGTTTAAGTAATAAATTGATAGTTGATTTTAAATGGAAAAAATTTTTAACAGAGCATTCTATGTTAGTGGAATTCTTATATATTTCTAGTTTTTTAATTGCTTATATTATTGGGCACGAGATTTTATTTACTGAATGATTATTTTTTAACAAGAATCGATCATAAGTATTTGCATATGTGGTTGTGACAAAAATTAATCATAAACATATTATTTGACCCAAAAAAAAAAAAGCAAAAAGAAAAAAGAAAAAGAAGTGTCCACTAGCTCAGTCGAGATATGTGGTGGGTGCTGTCACCGCACTTGTGCCGTGACACCTCATGGGATTTGTCCCGAACTTGTTTTGATAATCTCAACCGCTTATAATAGGGTTCGTCAAACATCTTATCCATAAAAAAATAAAAAAAATAAAAAAAGAAATAAAAGAGAGATTAATCGAATGTGTAGCCTCATGATCAGACTTTAAATTAATTTTTTTTTTTTGATAAATGAAATTTTATTACCACAACATCAAGAAGATGCCAAAAGAATACAAAACCAAGGCCCGCAAAACGGGAGCCTAACCAACTACATTATCAACAAAATCTAAGAGAGCAAATAAATCTGGATTCGCCTTTCTTGACACCCAGCTGTACAAAACACCCAAAAACCAAGCCTCTAACCGTGCAATGGATTGAGCACTATCCTGAAAAATACGTCGATTTCACTCACCAACCACATCAAACACAAAGGCACAATCGCCAAACCCTTCTGCCGCTGCTTCCCAACTCAACCACCCCCTAACACCACAACACATCCATGACCCGCCTAGGTTGAACCCCGACCACACCAAACAAAGAGAAAACAAGCACCCGCAAACGAGAAGCAAATGGGCAACGGAGCAGCAAATGGTCCACTGTTTCCGCATAAGATTTTAATTGTTCTCTAAAAGATATGTCCAATTAACCTAATTTTTTTCATGAATGATTTATTCAATGAACCCTAGTATATGAATGTTTTGGATCATCGAAATAGGTTGGAGACCTGTTCCCATGAGCTTCATAACATGGTGTTGTGCCTATAAGGGCATCTCCAACGGTTCACCAAATATTTCATCAAATCTGAATAAAAAAAGCACGAATTCCTTTATCTAATATCAGCCACTCTGACGGTGCTGTCATCAGAACACAGATCGACCGGGGGAATGACCGGGCTGACGTCCGGCTGATCGACCGGCAACTGTTCCAGCTTACAGAGGCAACATTCATCACTATTCTAGTCTGTGGAAACATCAACCTCCTCTTCAATCAAGAAAGAACCACCGCAAACATCCATTGATGTCCTTTTCTTAGCAGTCTCAACCCTCATACTCTGATCAATATCCATATTCAGTTCAGTTGCCAGTGCTCTCTTACTAATCTCTGACCTTATGGCTTCCACTTCAATCACATCATCACAGAGGCACCGAAGTATCTCAATTCTTATTACTGCTAGTTGTTTGTAATAATCACTCTCAAATAGCTTCAAGTATCTCAATTTTTACAAAGAACTCTTCGTTGATGGATACTTTTCAATCAAAGAGAGAGAGGTGCTTGATAATGGAGGTTGTTGAAGAATGTCCAAAACAGAGCATAAGTGAGAGAGACAGTGAGAGTGTTCTTGATATGTGCGAATGAGTGAGAGAAGAGAGAGACATTGATGGAAGCACTTTGAAAGTCAGGGGTGAGTTTATGAAAGCACTTGAGCCTTTTATAAAAAGTGTCTCATCAACCATCACCACCACCTCCTCCTCCTCTCCTTCTTCCCCCTTCCATTCTCATTCTACTTCCTCCATCTCTCCTCCATTTACCTTATCTTTTTCTTCTTCTTCCTCCTTTAACATTTGAACTAAATAGTACTAAAATGACAAACAATCACAAATGCAAGACAATAGTGGGAATTCACCACCACTTATCTCAAATGTGTATCTGCTTTAATTTTTTTGAAACATGTTTACAACTTGTGGTTTGGGACCCTAAGAATTTTTTATGATGAGAAAAATCAAACTTGAGACATTAGAGGGACAAAAAAAAAAACTCCCAAATTACAGGCTTAATCTACCGAACCAAACTCTTGGGGTTAGAGACCTCCTTAATTTCTAATGCATTTGGGGTGTGTTTGATTGGGGGATAAGGAGGGGGACTATTTACTGTGCGGATTGTAATCCGGAGGAAGCATCCAATCCACCATTTGTTTTTTTTTTTAGTCCGCCGAACATGGAGTCCGGCCGGACTCCTTATCCCCCATATGGAGGACTATTGTATCCTGGGGGGTATGGGACAATTTTCGGGGGACTATTTGCTGTTGAGATTAGGTGATGAAATGACTATTTTGACCCTCTACTATTTAATTATGCATTATATTTAGTAAAATTCAGTAAAATTTAAATGTCTCAATTTAAAAATAAAATAATTTTGTTTAAATATTAAAATTGTTTAGTATGGTGTTACCAAAATTAGTGGTGTAAAAAGATAAAATAATTAATTTAGGTTAGTTTTGGTAGTATATTGGGGGTGTAATAAGAATTACATTTTTTTTAGTGGTGCAATGAGATGAAAAGTATAAAAAAGTTAAATAATGGTGTAAGTACAATCACCCTAATCATATCATCTCTCATATCTTTTACATAATTTTTTTTAGAAAAAAACAAAAAAAATTAACTTTTAGGTCAATGATCAAGTCGCATATGTTTGTCGTTCTCTTTTGACATTACCTATCCAGCAGCGATCAAGTCCGTTGGTAATGGTTTACCAGTAGGATTGCAAAACGAAACGAACTGTTCACAAACAAGCTCGAACTTGGCTCGATTAGGCTCGACTCGAGTTTGGTTCGATTACTTAATAAACGAGCTCGAGCTAAAAATTTAAGCTCATTTTATTAACGAGCCGAGCCCGAGCTTGGTAGGCTCGGTCGGTTGGGCTCGCGAGCCTGTATGTTGTATATAATATAACAAATATATATGTGTGTTATGAAATTAGGGTTCAGTCCTCATATTTGGAAGCTGCTGTGTGTTTTCTCTCACCCAAAAAAAAAAAAAAACTTGTTTCTTCCGTCGAGGTTTTTCCTGATTCGCATAAGTGTGAGAGATTTGGTCTCATCTCTATTTCAAGAAACGTTGTTCTACAAGCTTTGTCTGGTACTCCTGCTTCCTTATTTTTCTTATTTTTCATCTCTATTTCAAGAGATTTGGTTCTCATCTCATCTCTCTCTGCAGACAAATTTTGGGGCTACCTACGGTCACAAACCCTAGAACTCCTCACTCATCTTCATCGCCTTTTCAATTTCTAGAGAGAGAGTGTATGTTTACAGATCGGAAATGGCGGAGACCGAGACGTTTTGCTTTCCAGGTTGAGATCAACCAGTTGTTGAGTCTCATCATCAACACTTTCTACAGCAATAAAGTGATCTTTCTCCGTGAACTCATTAGCAATTCCTCTGATGTAAGTCTCTCTCTCTCTCTCTCTTACATGTTGATTATTGTTATTATTATTGATTTCAAGATTGATCTGGTTTGAATCGTTCGTTTTTGTTCTCTTTGATTTAGATCCTCCTTTGGTTATGAAATTTCAAGATGTGTTGTATAGAAATCAAAGATCTATGATTTTGTATCTCATTGTTTTTGTTTAATGTTTCAATGGAATGGAAAATATGAAAATAGAATTGATATATATGTATATATATTTGTAAAAATGTGTACTAATCTCTAGGCATTGATGTTTTATTTATTTATATATTTATCTCCCACTTTTCATGTTGTTGCACCTGGTGCTTTAGATTAATGGTATAGGTTGGTGTTGTCTATATATATATATACATATATACACGGTAGATTGACCATTCTATAACAATATGATGATCCACGTTTGATTTGAGTATTTATTGTTTTAGTGTATCAGATCAACCTATATTCATTTTGGGTATGGTATTAGTAAGATTTGTGCTTGTTTATTTGGTGATATTTAATATATAAGAACAAGTCTGAAAGATTCAATTGTGATTTGGATTGATTTTTGGCAGATTTGAACAAGTCTATAAGAACAAGGCAGATTTGATTTTGGCTTTGTTCATAGCTTAATTTGTTTGTGTTGTTCGAGCTCGAGCTCGAGCTCGTTCGTTTGTAAACGAGCTATGTCGAGCCAAGCTCGAGCTTTATAAATATCTAGCGAGCCGACTCGAGCGCAACTTTCATAACTCGACTCGAGCTCGAGCCGAGCCCGAACATTATCAAATTCTATCGAACGAGTTCGAGCTTCACAGAACTCGACTCGACTCGGCTCGTTGTAGCCCTATCTACCAGAGCAGCTGAGCTTACAAACAAAGTGACAAAAGGTTTGATTTATTAATATAATTCGGTAGCTCCGAAATCTGAACCCTGCTAGTAATATTCCTCTCGATTCACAGTTAACAGTTAATGGCATCTGGGACCCCCAACGAAATGGGTTCCGGGAAACTTGTTCGTGTGAAGATCATAATCGATACAGATCCTGGTATTGGTATGTTCTCTCTCTCTCTCTCTCTCTCTCACCACTGCATAATTGTTTTCCCATTTTATTCCTTAGCTACCTGTTTCAGTGTTGAGTCAATTGGGCTTCACATCATCTCTTTCAATTCTCTCTCCATATACCCTTTTGATATGTTGTCCCCTACTTGTAAAAATAGATAAACAGTTCAATGTGGTAGGAGTTTTTTTTTTTTTGTGTGTGTGTGTGTGTGTGTGTGTAATATAAGTGGTTTAAGTAATAAATTGATAGTTGATTTTAAATGGAATTTTTTTTTTAACAGAGCATTCTATGTCAGTGGAATTCTTATATATTTCCAGTTTTTAACTGCTTATATTATTGGGCACGAGATTTTATTTTATTGAATGATTATTTTTTAACAAGAATCGATCATAAGTATTTGCATATGTGGTTGTGGACAAAAATTAATCATAAACATATTATTTGACCAAAAAAAAAAAAAAGCAAAAGAAAAAAGAAAAAGCAGTGTCCACTAGCTCAGTTGGGATATGTGGTGGGTGCTGTCACCGCACTTGGGCCGTGACACCTCATGGGATTTGTCCCGAACTTGTTTTCATAATCTGAACCGCTTATAATAGGGTTCGTCAAACATCTTATCCATAAAAAAATTAAAAAAAATAAAAAATAAAAATAAAAGAGAGATTAATCGAATATGTGTAGCCTCATGATCAGACTTTTAATTTTTTTTTTTTTTTTTGTTAAATGAAACTTTATTACCACAACATCAAGAAGATGCCAAAAGAATACAAAACCAAGGCCCGCAAAACGGGAGCCTAACCAACTACATTATCAACAAAAATCTAAGAGAGCAAATAAATCTGGATTCGCCTTTCTTGACACCCGGTTGTACAAAACACCCAAA